AGGCCCCCCCCCCCCCCCAGCCTCCTTTCTAGGAAGCGTGTATCATTCATATTTTAGATTAAAGCTCAAATTGAATCTAAATACTGACTGAGGCCTCCCTTCATCTGCGGTTGCAATGGCAGATGACGACTTATAATGAAGATTTCTTTTTTGAACCCTGAATTATTGACCAACACTCTTTCATATGGAAAACATATAGCACCACATTCAGCCACAGGAAGAGGTTTTATGTCAAGTTACCTTAAATTCTGTTTCAATGTTGGCTAGTCTTGCTAATTCATTGCTTAGCTCTAAAGCCGTTAGAACAGGGTCTTCACTGGAAAGAGATAAATAAGCAGCACTTGCTAATCCTTTGTAGGCATTCATTCTTGATCGAGAGTGACTAAAGGAATCTTTCCTCTGTTTTTCCATACATTCGTTGCACTTGCAGAAGTAATCATGGGGCCTTTCTATCCGTGCGCCCTTCAGGAGCAAAATGTGAACAATTTCATACTCCTGGCAGTGGGCAGCGAGTATTATGGGGGTGATGTCATGGGAAAATCGAGTTCCGTCTTCATCGTAAGCATAAAAATCGTCATCACGTAGTTCCTGTTCGAGAGGACTAAGTGTCAGGCGCTGCCCTTGTGCAAAGGCCGGGTGGTTCAATATTGCTTCCACAATGCGGACATATCCCTTACTGATGGCTAACAACAGCGCATCCCCAACGCGTGCCAGATTCTCCTTTTTCAGAAGGAGTTCAGTTACCTCCAAATGCTCGTTCCCCACTGCTAACTGCAGGGCATTTTGTCCCATGTAATCAACACAATTAAAGTTCAAAGTTTTGGATTCCTCCAGCATTTTCCGCACAACTGGGATATTGCCATATTCCGCAGAATCCAAAAAGCGCTCTTCCTCAGTGGTCAGGCTGGTGCCCTTCTCATTGAACATGTAGGCCGGGCCCCGGATAGCCTGCCTCCGGCCCTTCTCCCGAAGGGTTGTGTGCCTTCGATTCATGTTTTCAGAACTGCTGTTTCTCAACCTGTGCAAAGACAGCAAGGAAGCTCCATTACTTTCTCAATGACTTTGTTTTAGATCTCCTATAATCTCATATAAGGTAGGAAACATTCTATTAATTTAATCTCTCACATTTATTCTGCCATAATACAGTTAGGATACATTCAGGATTGGCTTATTGAGCAATAGCCAAATAGTTTCTTGACTTCTAACCTCGGGGATTTCAGCTATGAAGCCCAACGTACAAGTCACTATGGGATTCTCCAATAGTAAAACAAGACCTAGCTGAAAAATACACAGCATCTGAATTTTACTTTCAATGAAATTTCACTTTTGCAATGACTGCTGAATGATTTCCACCACTCCCAACACAGCTGAACCATTTGGATTTCATACTGCAGCCCTTGTTTTAGTCATTACAGACCCAACCCAAAGCAAATTGAAGTCAGCACAAGTCTATCTATTCCAATGGGTTTTACATCAGGCTCTGAGTCAGCAGGATAGTTAAGCTCATACCTAAATGTAATAATTTAGGTATAGTTCCAATGGGGTTAAAGTGAGGCATGTGGTAATGTATCTACTGAATCTTGCCCTTGGCAGCAACAGAAGAAAATTGCCAGTGCAATCAGCTATAGCTTTGGTACGTTAAAACTTCAGAAAATTACAGTGGATCCTCTTGACAGAAATCAGATTTTCAAGACAGTTTACTGCTATTTTCTGTCCCACCAGAGAAGAGACAGAAATCCTATGCACATCATAGACTATGCCACTGAAACTATTGATTTCTGGACTATTGTGTGCCAAAGACCTCCTCTTTGTAGAATGCAATTATTGTTTAAATATAATTATTCTGCATGTGATAAGACTTCAAATGTTTCCATATGTTTATGTGATAACAGAAACTTGTTCTTGATAACAGAAGCTCCAGAAAACTGCAATAGTCCATTTTAGTGGAAGGTTGTTGCTCATTTAGGGGGAATGTCTTCACTTACAAAGTATCCTGTTTCTTATAAAGCAGGTAAAAAGACAGAGACAGAGAGAGAGCAATTACCCCCCCTGTCTTTCCATATCAAGTGGCAATAGCATACTCACATGTGCAGAAAAAGCTTTGCTATATATAGGCCAAGACTGAGCATATTGTCTGTTCTGCTAAATCTTACCTGCTACAAAGAAACAAACAAACAGGCATCCATTCGGTTCCCTCTTTCATGTTATTTAGGGCAGCTCTTTTGTTTCCTGACCCAGAACAATTTAAGGAGCAAGTGCCTCATTTTCTTGCTCAAATTCTGTTGCCAGGTGTCTAAAGGTAGGTGCCTAAAATTAGACGCCTCTCCTAAAAACCTAGGTCATACCTTCTGATTTGGTGTTGTGTCACGCTCCAATTAGCAGCTTTTCTGAAAGCTAGAGGGAATATCAGGCAACAGAGATAGATGCAACATTGAGCAGAGAGCAAAGGAGCAAGTTGATCAAAAGTCAGATCCACACCCACCCAGATACCTCACAGCTTGTCATTGGGAAAACTACTCTGTTAGTCTAACACATTGATGGGGCAGAGACAGGAATGTCTTTACCTCATTGCCTCTTTCTCTTACAGAGACCTGTCAAAAGGATCTCTCTCTCCTGAGTCCGAGTACTTATGCTCTACCGGTCTCTAATTTCTCAACTTGTCCCAGGAGATTTGGACACCCAACTCCCATTACTATGACTAGAATCAATGTTCTTATTAATGAAACCCATAAAGGGCTGTGGATTTATCCAAATTTGTACCCAATAAGCACCCTTCAAATTGTATTATTTATATTGCAATAGCACAGCAACCAAATCACAGCTCTATTAGCATCAGTGCTGTCCCTATACCTGTACTTGAGTGACTTGGGAACAGAGGCTCTGCTGTCAGCAGTGACAAAGGGCTTTTTACAGGACTAAAAGTCTTAAGTTCTCAGGTGCTTTTGAAAATTTTACCCACAACATAACAGGCAGCAATAAAAAATTAGCAGGTGGTGCTGCTCTGTGGGTGGCACAGGGTTTATCTCCATGTGCTCCATCTGCTCCCCATTTTGATATTGACCTTCCGTCTAGGAAAAGTAGATGCATCACTGCAGAAATACCACTGCAATGTGGGCTTGAAAGAATACTAGAGATTGGCACCAAAAGGACATAGGAGATCAGAGAGTATGCATTAATGAACACAACACAGTTGGCTTCTTTTTCCATCAATACAAATGCAATATGAAGCCGTACCCACGCACTTCCCTTACCCCCAGACTTCGGCAAAACAGGCATGGAGCAAAATGAAATGGCCCCAGTTTTAGAAATGTTGCTTGAGAAGACAGTTTGGTCCAAAGATCCACATATATGAACATAGTAACTACTTGCAGGTATAAGCAGCTCACCAAAAAGTAGATCTATCATGTTGGGTTTCCCCCTCCCTGCCCCCCACAGTGAACACAGATGTCTTGCTTCATTCTAGCATCAACAGCAAGAGTAACAAGAGGCAGAAAGATGCTGTTCACCTGAACCTGCCCACCAAAGTGTGACTAACGTAAAAATGTAAGCACTTATGTATGTTCTATAGAAGAACAAGCAGAACAAACTAAATTTAACCTCTACTATGTGCTGGGGAGAGGGGGAGTGCAAGAGCATCATAGCTTATAGAAAGATGTCCCTGTGATGAATGACAGCTCCTAGTCTTGGTCATGATGAGGGAAAATCACTATCTCAGCCACACTATTTTGTCGTCTTTTAAAGAGAGAGGAAGATGCAGAAAACTGTAACCTTAACTTTGACTATTTCCATAAGAAATATTCAGTGATTGATTCATGTTCTCAAAACCTTGCTTGGCCCTAGTACTGAGTTATAACAAAGCAGTGACAATGCGGAGGATTGTGGATACTCAGGCATACTCGTGTGTCACGATTCTGCTTGATACTGTACTGTACTCTACTTGTACAGGCAGTCTCAGCATTAATCATATGTACCGAGATTGTCTAATGCACTCTCCTAAAAAATGTAATTGTAACTTGATTGCACTTATCTTAACATTTTTGTTTAAAGGTGCTTTGCATTTAAATGACTATGCATTTGCATATTTTATTGAGACAGCTAGTGATCAAACTCATCAGGCATCGTAATTAAAATATTGTGCTTTTCTAGGAAAGAATGTCAAGGCCTGCAATGTCATCGGGAAGAAGTGTTTTGGTAAGAGGCAAAACCATGGGCCATAGCCTGACCTCAGGGGACTCTCTCCTGAGTATAGATCTACTGTTGTGAACTTCTGCCTACCAACTTCTAGTGAAGTTCTCAGGAATGAACATACTAACTAGAGGAAGTGTCACAGGACATGTGGTGGCAGCACTTCACAGAACATGTTCCTAAAGCTTGACAGAGTTTCATTCTCTATGGTGAGATAAGGGTGCTTAACTAGGTTAAAAACCTCAAGTGAACTGGGTTAGCTTGTCTGGGTGCTTAGTCTGCAATACTAGAATAGAATCCCCTCCCACAAACCAGTTGCCTAAGCTTGCAAACCAAGGCCGTACCCACAACCCACCTCCTGGTTGCTGCTACACAAGGTGTCATGCAGAACTCAACTAACACCGTGCCATGCAAGACACATTCCCGTTTTGGACCCCCTTTCCTTGCTTCTCTTGCACAGTGCAGGAATGCCTCTGCAGAGGTAAGGGAGTCATCTAGACTCAGGGTACAATTTTAATAAGTCCCTAAGTGATCTAGGAGCCTAAATCCCATTTTCAGAAGTAGCTTAGAGCCAATGTTTTTAAAGGAACATAGGTACTCAAAGATGTAGACATATGCTCACTTAGATTTACAAAAGCTCATAGGTACTTAACCTGATAGGCTGCACAGCTATGCTAGATTCATGTTCGGTCCATGTTATTGCTCTCACGGGGCATTTCTTTTACTAGTCACATAGGCAAAAAAGGCTTTTAAAAGGTATTTCACTTACAAGCAAGGGAGCAAACATTTTTCAAACATCAGCTTAACTTAGATAAAAGCTTTAATGGAGTCATATTCAGTTACTTCCTATTTATAGCTCTAGTATCATCCAGATGGTCAATCTTAGGGCATTTTTACATTTGTTTCTGAGGCAGCGCCAGGCACTTCTAATTACCGAGTCGCACTAATTAAAAGCCCCTGTGCATCATGTGTATCAGTGGGACAGTGCACCTCCACACTGAGAAAATGGCAGCACTGAAGCACATCAAGCATGTTTTAGTTCAAAGTGCACCACCACCATTTTCTCAGCACGGAGATGCACTGCGCCACAGATACACGTGACACATGAGGCTGCCAGAGCACATCAATTTACATGCTCCAGCGTACTCAATTAATTGAGTCTGCTCTGTCACACTGGACTTCCAGCATGTCAAAGCAGGTTCCCTGCACGTGTGTAAGCGCCCTTACGTCCCAGTATTTTAAAAAATATAAACAATACTATACTTGAAGTCAGACTAGGCAATCCAGCCTCAAATGTAGTCTGCAGGTTCAGATAAGTGTTATAGAGTTACATGGATGACAAAAGACACTGGATAATAATCTGAGCACTGGTTTTGCATGCCTAGAGCACTGCTTAATTCTTATAGCAGTTCTGTGAAATAACTGTGGCAGGAAGTATTCCCTCACAGGCTCGAGGTAAAGGAACATGATTGCTCCAGGTCAGCTCGGCTGCTTCCCATTTTTGGATGTGATCAGCATGGGTAAGCTGTGTGTTTGGAAAAGGCATTGCCAATATAATTCTGCATCCTAGCATCTCCAATAACCCAATAGCAAATGCAAACTACATGACAGGGGTGCATTTACACGTGCTATTAAGGCAACTTAAGAAACTCAGAGTGTATTGCTCCGGGGCACAGTGTTTGTGCATGTGCCTGGGACTACAGCAAATTGAGCTGAGGCAGATCATCTGCAGCTGGCAGGGAGTCCTGGGGGTCAGCCTGCCAGCCTGGGGCTACTCCAACCCACTTCAATGTGCTGCAGAGGAGCTGGCTGGGGTACAAGCGTGCTCCAGTGCAGGGCTAGCTGGTAGGCAGTGCCCCCACTGAAGCACCCAGGTGCCGCAGCCACCCCCATCCATGTCTACACATGCATTGTAGTGTAGCAAATAACTCCACCATAGGATGGTATCTGTGTCTGGCAGTACTATCCTATGGCAGAGTTAATTAATTTACTCTGTCCTAATAGCAACACATACGTAGATGGTGACATTTTACTATGCATCTAATTAGTCAGCTCTGCAGTAAATATCTTGTGTAGACGCACCCCGGAAGTGCTAATGCTCCAGCCTGTATCTGCAGTTCATTGAGCAGGTTGCAAAATACCGTGCCCTGGCATTGCAAACAAAAAACACAAGGGTAAAAGCTGGAGGTCAAGCCTGATTCATTTGAAAAATGTAATGGTGACATGCATTCAACCACAGAGGTAAAAGCAAGGGATTTCATGTAATGTATCACCCCAGGTATGGCTAGGGAGAGGATGTCCCAGGACTGAGGGGGCTCACCCTGGCTGTTATATGGGTCGGGGTCCTGTTTGAGACCTAGCTGAAACAGTCCAAGGAACCACTAGTCTTTCCTGGAAGTCTAGGGATTTTGATCACCCCTAAATGTCTGCAGTGGAGAAGAAGCAAGAGGTTATGAAGAGAAAAGTTATGTGGATACCTATTTGCTTGAGTAAGAAGGTGGATTCTGTCTTCCAAAAAAACCCTTCTGTAACCCACAGGTGATATTATTCTGGAGGCAGTTAGTGATTGGATGATCACAGCATTGCTGCTGGGAGGCAAGTCATCAGTGTGGCGCTGTCAGAATTGTATGTACTTCACTGAAAGCCACATTCTGTAGCTCTTATGCAAAGAAAACTTGACTGAAAGCTGTGGCCCAGCTATTTTAAACCAACTACTGATCTGGAGTGAAAAACAGACCCTTGCAGAGTCTATCTCTGTGAAGGCAACATGCTATGAAGGCTCACAAAACTGCTACATTTTGGTCATTTGTTGAAACTTCTGGAATATTTTGGTAGTTGGTGAAAATAATGACTTTATTAAGATGCCCTATGATTTCCCCCACCCCTGCCCACCGCGCCCCACTAAATCTACAGGGACTGGATTTTTCTTTTGCTTCCTTTGTCTTTTCACCTTTTATAGCAAAACCAGAAATGGTTCATTTACCACTATAATCCAGTTCTACCCCAGGATACATGCCCTACTGGTTATCAGATAGATAGATAGATAGACAGATATTGTAACATTATTCTATCAGTCTCTGAACTCATTTATTTTTTCTTTTGACTCATGATTACTAAATCCCCTTCCCCAACCCTGCCCATTCACTAATCTAAAGCTATAAGGAT